TTTTATATATATATATATATCACAATGCAGAACAGACACATTTAGGTACTTCCATCAGAAAATCAAGTGGTTATAATATGGTATATTATATCAACTGTCCTATAATTATACAACAAACGATAGAAATATGCACTTAAACAAATGAGGTACAACTTAATGCAAAATATTTTATGTATCTTATATTTATGTGTGAATTGCATTACAGTTATCATGGTATTACATTAGTTATGATAAACACATTACAATTTACAATTGCTTTGTTTTGTTACATTGTCGAGCACGTGATAGTGAGAAAAATAATGTTTCCTTGGTAATTTCATAAAGTAAATTATTCGAGCGCATAGACCCACTTTCTGTCTTCGAATTATACACTGATGTTTAACGGTACCCTCCTCGGTAGAACACGGTGAAAGAAGAGTGCGACAAAAGAAAACTTTCATCCTCAACATTACATGCATTTCGTTTAGTCTGATTTTAAATTTTGCAAATCCCAATGTAAGAATTATAATTTTGGTTACATACATCTAATTTCAATGTAAAATTTGTAATAATCGTTCATTATTTGACATCTAAATTTACGACTATTATTATATATTTATTAATAATTACCTGGAACTATTATTAAATCTAATTTTTGTCACATTATCGTTAATGTATTTATAAATTATATTCTTTATACGTAACATATTATACAACAAACTATATACGCAGTTGATGTGCTACTAATTATTCATGTGGAATATTCAAATTACGTGCACATTTTCTTGAATACAACATAATGAAGAGACGAATACACTCGGTATGTAATAAACGTATCAAATTATTTGTTAAGTCACTTGTTCACGTCTCGTAGTTAGATTCGTTTTCGTACGTAATTAAGTTTTCAGGTAGTAATTGTCATCTAATTAGATAGTGTAAAAGTCTGATACAATATCATTTGTGTTACACAATACGAAATCACCAGTTTCGTGTTTTTTTCCGAGCGTTATCTAATATCAAAGGATTGTTTGCATCTCTTCAATTGTCGCATTGTCGCACAAATCAATCACATTGCTGTAAATAATATATCTGTAACTCGGTTGACTACTTTACAGTAAATATACTTATGACTTCCTTACCGTATTCAGGCAACAATTATGAAACGTTTCGCATAATTCATCTCGACCCTGTTGTATCTTCATCTCTCGGATGTTGTTAACGCCCTTCGAATTTTTTTTCAAATAAATATGTAAATAAAAACGCTGTTCCATTGTTCAGCTACACATGTTTAAACATACCGCCGACTGGTGGTCCTATGCCTCTGCTTATTGATTTTGGTCAGTCGGTTTCCTTGTAGTATTCTAGAAGGCTGATAAATTTTACACTCCGCCCAAATGGTTGTTCTACTTTTAAAAGGTATCTATTTATCACTGTTTATTAAATTTAAAAGACTTTCGAAAGATAATACGAGTAAAGGTTTTACTAAGAAACCTTCTCTTATCTGAAAGTTATCATAGACTAGAAGTAGGAATGCCAAAATCAGGCGCATATTCTACTGTGTGATTTAAAATTAATCACGCGTAATAAGCACATCATATGGGCAATTTCGTTTCTAGACAGTGCAAACAAGCATTCCTATTTAACCAAGCTCTTCGTAGTCTGCGAATCCGCAGTTTTACTCTATATAGGTGGAACTTCGATAACGTAGTAATGGATATAAATATTATGACAACACATACGTATGGCAATAGGGAAAAGAAAGAGTATATACGTACATAATGGTGACTCTAGTGTTGCTTACACATATATTGTTAGTTAGTTTTAATTTTGTGTTTAATCTCGTCCTTAAGAAAGATAAAATGGTACTTATCATTTTGTGTAAGTACACATAGATAAATGAACGATACGTACGTGTGATCGTTAAAATCGTGTGAAAAAAACTGGGAACTGACCGTTCTGAATTATTCTATTTGCATTTACATAAAGATTGGAATCAGTCCACAGATCATGTTACGATAAGAGATATCCAGTACGATACCTCGAAATGGCAATCAATGTGGATCAATTGTGATAATGTCACTGCCAATGCCAATGCCAAAGTTAACGTCATAATCGTAACAACACAAGTTTAACAATGCGAGTTTTGGCATTCGTAATCACGTTTATAATCGTTTCCAGGTAAAGATTCATCTACGTACATATGTAGATATGTAGAGTTATTTGCGTGTACACACATGCATGTATTTATATGTATATAGCTATATATATATATATATAACTAAATAATATATATATATAACTAAATAATTGTGTATTATATTAATTAATAATGTACGTAAAAATACATAATTATTTAGTTTACGTAATACGCGTGAAAAATGATCGTTAATGTATCTATCTATCAGCTGTACTTTGCTCACGTATCGCCTGATGTTTTGATGTATAAAAAGAGTAAAGAATGAGAAATCATGTTGCACCACTATGACTGGACTAAAAATGACTTCAGTTAACAGATAGGATGACCGAGCCACATATCTTAAAAATAATTTTTACGTATTTAGTTTCTAACTCGTCTATAGTTGCGTATGAAGAGTAAAAAATACAAAATATGGCATATGAAATCACCAGCATCTTCTGTTTCGTTAGCATTCACATTAAAGCTGTTTCGTAACATGAATAATAGAACTTTGTTCCGCATCTATTTAAATTGCCCCTTGAACAGAGGAATACGAAATAAGAGATATAATTATACAGTAAATTAGAATATTCACATATGTATATGTTTCTAATCTATTAGGGCGAACCAAAAGTTCGTCGATTTTTTGTTGTTTCAGTTTGTACCTTTTTGACGTCAATAATGATACTTTGTATACAAGTGTTATATATCATTTTGTAGCTTTTGGGAAGTTATTTAATATATACGTATTACAATTAATTTATTGATAAATAATAAGTACATATTTTATACGTAAGTCCTTCATTGAATTTATTGAACCATTTTTACACTGTACGATCTGAGACGACCTCTTCTTCTTCAACTTCGCATATTTTCTTTGCCGTTTCAGTAGCTTCAAAATCTTG